TCAGGACTATCATGGCAAAGTGACCACAAAAATGGAAATGAGTGATGCGTTCTCTATTTTGAGCTGGCTAGGACATTACGATTTGTCAAACTACTGCATTTACACTTGAATTGCAAGGTAAGTTCAGTTTTTAGTGCCCAATCAGTTCTTTTTTTTTTATCTGAATCACTGAACTGGAGAAGAGCATACAATAAAAAGAAAGTTAGAAGATAATTATTTTTCTTTATATTATCGATAGAGGAGATGACAACAACACAGGGACCAGTAGAGGAATACTAAACAATCCCGTATGAACGAAAGATGACACACCCTTTTTACATGTTTGATTAATATATTTTTCTGTAAAACAAATTCTGTTGCAACGACAAAGCCCAATACCAGTATCAATCAATCAATTAATGGATCAATCATCGATTTCTAATTGCCTTTGTATGTGTGTGTGAGTGTTTGTCTTCTATTTTCTGTAGTATTTCAGAAATTTCAAAAGGTACAAAATTAAATCAGTTGTATTATCTGGGGTTACCTTCATCAGTCGTCGTTCTTAAACAGATTTAAAAAAAAAATATTTTGAAAGATGGACAGGAACCCCAACTTTCAAATTGCTATTTCTTAACTTTCAAATATACTAGCTGAGTTTCAAAAGGATTGTTCCACTTTGTAACATACGGGTATCTCAGAAAACATGAAAACATTACTCGTTAAACTTTTGAAAAAAAAGATCTATTATCCCTTTTTAATGTTATTGTTGCTGCCTTTTTTTTTAAAAATACCGATTATGAGACAAACATAACAATATCATGTCACCAACGTCATTTTTGATTTTATTTATATAATCGAGTTGCCGTTTCAATTACATGTTTATCAACTTCTCCTTTTATGCATAGTTACATGCATGTAAATGATCATGTATTCACATTAACGGTACCAATACTACTACACCAGATACATCTTTCGTCAATTAGTGTCAGTACAGTGATGATTGAGGCCAAACAAGTGAATCTGTGAGCTACTGCTCACTAATGATACCATTGCCCCGCTAAAAGTATAAGGTAACCAGGAAGTTGTTGAGTTATGAATCTGAAAACGCATCACACGACAAAGCTGACTCGTATAAATCCTGAAACCCAATTTCAGAAATCCTTGTAATGTAGTTCCTGAAAAAGATGCGACGAAAAATATTCATGGGACGGATGGACGGACTGACGGATGGACGAATGGATGGACGGACGGACAGACAGAGGTAAAAAACAGTTTATCCCCACTTTTTTTAAAGCGGGGGTATAAATATATGAAATCCAAACCTAATACGAACGTTGAAGAGCTGATCAGATTAAAAAAGTTGCTAAATTATAATCAAATTTTGACGAGAAATCAAAGCTGTACGTGAGGGATATACATTCCTTAATTTCAAATGATTTCCGAACTTTTAAATCAGCAAACTACAATCAGGCAATATATATATTTACACGTCAGCATCGAAGTACTGGCTACTAGGCTGGTAAAACAATACATAAGTTGTCTTACTATCCGATATTATCGGGTGAAGATATCCTATGTAAGCTTTATTGCATAGACGTTTTATCAATTATCAGTTCAAGTTAAAGAGAGGTAGACGATACCAAAGGGATACTGAAACTCATAAGTCGAAGACAAACTGACAACACTAAGGGAGCTACCATTTGATTTTTATGGGGGGGGGGGGGGGGGGGGGGCTAGGATGAAAAATTTTGTCCTGCATTTTTTTTACTTGTAATCTCTGTCCTGCCTTTTTATTTTTCACTCTATTCGGTCCTGCATTTTTTTTTAAGTTTATTCTGAATTTTTTTACCTAAATTGTCATCCTGACTTTTTTTTTGCAAGTGTCTCATCCTGCCTTTTTTTTTACTCAAAACTCCTGTCCTGCCTATTTTTTACAAATTTTATCCTAGCCCCCCCATAAAAATCAAATGGTAGCTCCCTAAAGCCATCAATAAACTGATTTTGATTTTGATAGGTATATATAAAATGAAAACATTTGAACGCTCATGTTTCCTGGACTAAAACCCAAAGTCTATTACATACGTTATGAAATTAAGCAACGGGGTTCTATCATTTTATATTTTCGAAATGTGTCCCGTTCTTCAATTTGATTTGCCTGATATCAGCAAGGAGGCGAGTCATCAATGTTTTAATATGTATGTAAACAATAATTATAGGTTTCCTATACACACTAGTAATAGATTTATTTGATTTGATTTTACAAACAAAAGTGACTGCAATAACATGCCATTTAAACGACTATTTTGACCAGTATTGCAGCTCTTGTTTGATAAGGATTTGCACAAAACTAAAGAATATCAGAATACATTTGAATACTAACTACGTGATCAAAGATCTTAGGCTTTTTAAATTTTACGTCACACAAACGGAAAATTCCACTACGCCGACTTTCATACTGAAAAATTCCTAAACGAACAAACATCGGGTTATTTTTGTCATATGATTTCCGTAAATCTGAAACTGTTTAATGTGAATAGATCACGAAATAGTATAATGCCTTCAGTATTTACATATGTCGAAATCAGCGGAATATATTAATTCTAGAAGTATAAACATTTTTATTGAAGGCCGTACGGTTGCCTATAATTGCTTAAATCCACTTCAGTTGGTCTTTGGTGGATAGTTGTCTCTTAGGCAATCATACCACATCTCCTTATTCTTATATTAAACGGTCGTTATATACAGGATTGGAAAAAATAATGAAATCTATATGTTTATTTAGAACAGACTACGAGGATGCTTGAGACCAAAATATTTTGAATCGAAAAACTAATGCTAACGTTGAAGAGGTGATCAAACCAAAACGAACATAAAGTACATCCAAATCCAGACAAGGAATCTGAGCTTTGCCTGAGGGAGATAATTATATTCTTTTAATTTTTCAAAGTTTTCAAAATTTGTATAATTAAAGAATAGACTTAATGGGTTACTATCCGATATATCGAATAAACAAGATAAAATGTGAGATATTTATCACAATGACGTTTTATTCTTTATTTATCATCCAGTTAAAGTTAAAGTTAAAGTCAACATGTGTATCAATAAAATTATTTGAAAGCTATATGATAATGTAACAATTTTCTCATTAAACATGTCATTACTTTTTTTAAATAATAAATGGTTTGTGTTTTTCATAAAAAACAATGATAACTGAGAACACAAACTTTCTGTACATAGTACTATCTTTTTACCTGAAAGTAAAACAACTTGTAACCTGTATAATATTTCTGTACAGAGCACTATCTTTTTTCCCGGAAGTAAAACAACTTGTTGTAATCTGTACAAACTTTCTGTACAGAGTACGTCTATCTTTTTACCTGGAAGTAAAACAACTTGTTGTAATGTGTACAAACTTTCTGTATAGAGTACTATCTTTTTTCCCGGAAGTGAAACAACTTGTTGTATTATGTACAAACTTTCTGTACAGAATACTTTCTTTTTACCCGGAAGTAAAACAACTTGTTGTAATATGTACAAACTTTCTGTACAGAGTATTACATTGCAATACCAGTTTTAAATAGTATTTTTGTTCGGCCACTAATGTTTTCTCGAAAAGACGAGCATTCGAATGTATTCCGTACGTATATGAAATTATGCACTAACTGTGAAACTTCATTACTTATTCTCTAATGTGCCCCGTTCTCAAACTTGATTTACCGGATATAAGCTAGGATACTACCTATTCTAGAGGTTGCGTGAATTAGATGCGGATACTAAAAAATTCCAAAGATCTTTTAGAGTACATACAAACTAAGTCTCTTTCATCATGCAAAAGTATTGAAACATTTGACTTTTCTACACTTTACACAAGTATTCCCTATTCCAAACTTATAGACAAATTGAAAGAGTTGGTCTTGCTTTGTGTCATAAAAAAGACTGGCCAACGTTGATGCAAATATCTTGTCTTAGGGAGGGATAAATCGTACTTTGTAAAATATAAATCCAATTCAAATAAAAAATTCTCTGAAACTGACATTATCAAGATGCTTGATTTCTTGATTGACAACTTATTTGTTAGTTCAGAGGACGTGTTTTTCAACAAACAATCGGCATTTCCATGGGAACCAACTGTTTCTGCTCTTTTTGCCGACTTGTTCCTTTATTAACATGAGGCTGACTTCATACAGGAACTTCTCAGGAAGAAAGAAATGAAGTTAGCAGTATCCTTTAATTTTACTTTCCGCTATATAGATCATGTTCTCTCACTAAGTTTAAATCCTCCCTTCGTAAATTTTACGGACGCCATCACGAGTTGGTTGAACGTTATGGAATATCCGTTTCACGGATGATAGCGGATATGTTCCAATTGTCGTAACTATAATCCCGTACCCCTTTCCCTGAATGTGACTTACAAATTAAACTTATAACCGGGTTTGTACTATAATGAACAACACGACGGTTGCCACACGTGGAGCAGGACCTGCTTACCCTTCCGGAGCACCCGAGATCACCCCCGTTTTTTGGTTTTTCGGTTCGTGTTGCTCAGTCTTTAGTTTTCTATGTTGTATTTTGTGTACTGTTGTTTGTCTGTTTGTCTGTTTCTTTTTTAGCCATGGCATTGTCAGTTTATATTTGACTTATGGGTTTGAATGTTCCTTTGGTATCTTTCGCCTCTCTGTTACTTCACATGAATTGAATATTACACTTTGTCAATTTTCATTCTGAAAAATTCTTTACTACGCAGAAATCCGGTCATTGTTTTGTTTTCTTACGATATCCATCAATCTTAACAGTCACATGTTATGTCAACTATGTGTCATTGAGTATCATGCAATCAGTATGGACAAGTGTTTAAAGCAATTGATTATATTAATTCTAGACGATATGAACTTCTTAAACGGTCGATATAGATATATAGGTTAGAAAAAAATAACAATAAATGAAACGCATATCTTTATTTAGAAAAAAAAGGTTTCACTTCTGATTCATTGAAATAAATACAGAATAAAAAACAAAGTAAAGAAAACGTACATCTTTATTTAGAACAGACTACGCAGTAGACTTGGACGTTATCTTTATAAGGTGGACAAGGCAATGAGCCGCATTTCATCACTGTGACGTACAACAAGTGATCATTGTTGCTTCGTTGGCCTCCTTTCACATACGTTGGATGGGCATCTACACAGATGTATGGAGATGGGGTGTGATCGTGTGCGGTTGAAGCAAGTATCCCATTGTACTCTTCTTTCCATCCAGTATAACATGTTTTTCTGCCAGGGATCATAACTGATGATGTTGTATTACTACTCCTACATAAGGCACATGGTACATCATTATCACTAGAATCAGAGGCAAACTGATTACCTTCGAATTCTGTCCCAAAGATAAAGCTAGCTCCTGATCCCTCTTTATCACTAAGCTCTGGATTATTAGGGAGACAAAGCATATTTGAAGCACCACCTCTATAACTGGAACTCCAGTAGTATTTTTCGCCGGCAGCATAACCTGTTAAATATCAATTGTTTAAAGCAATTTCTGCATTTTGTGATAAATAATTCTAATATGACTTGCTTCTGTCGCTTTGTAAACAACAGCGTGATAAAATTCTCGATATATCTATACTTAGCGCAGACTCAGAGATGTACATATTCATGGCTGTTACTATTTACCTCCCACGTAAATCCATGTATCGTATCCTATCTATATGCCAATTTGTTTTTCTTTGTTTACATATTTGTTTGTTTTTATAGTGATTAAGATTATAACACAATGTTGACTGCTGTACCCCTATTTTTGACATTTTTTCCTATTATGTCTGTTTGTTTTGTTCACACATTGTTGTCATTATAATGGAATTTGATGCGACTGTCATACAAGTGAGAGGTTTAGCTAGCAATAAAACCAGGTTTAATCCACCATTTTCAACATAAGGAAATGCCTGTACCAAGTCATTTTTGCCATCTTCGTTTACATATTTGTTTGTTTTATAGTGATTAAGATAATAACACAATGTTGACTGCTGTACCCCTTTTTTTGACATTTTTTCCTATTATGTCTGTTTGTTTTGTTCACACATTGTTGTCAATATAATGGAATTTGATGCGACTGTCATACAATTGAGAGGTTTAGCTAGCTGTAAAATCAGATTTAATCCACCATTTCCTAAATAAGGAAATGCCTGTACCAAGTCAGGAATATGACAGTTGTTTTCCATTCGTTTGATGTGTTTAAGCTTTTGATTTTGCCATTTGACAACGGACTTTCCGTTTTGAATTTTCCTTGGAGTTCGGTATTTTTGTTATTTTACTTTTAAGTCAAGAAGTAAAGAAAAAAAAATTAAATAATTAAAACTAAATGTAGGAAGCTCTCTTACAAACAACCCATAATAGCTGAAAGATATAAGGGCATAAACAAAAGAACGGGAACACTTTCAACTGCATCCACACAATATGAGCAACAAAGCCTGCAATCAGTATAAAATAAGGTGATGTGGTATGATTGTCAATAAGACAATTTTACAAAAGAGTCCAAATGAAGCGTATTCAAGCCACTTTAGGTCACATTACGGCCTTTGGCAATGAGCCAAACTCATACTGTATATATCAGCTTTGAAATGCCCAGACATGACAAAATGTAAAACAATTCGAATGAAAAAACCAACGACCAGATTTATCAAAAGACACTAAACGAAAAGCAAATATGACAGACCGCAACCGACGCCAACCACTGAATTACAGGCTCCAGCTGGCATAGAACAAGACACATACAGAATGTGGCAGGGTTAAACATGTTTTTCAACAATGAAAATTATCGAACGGTCACTAAATGCGTCTTTGGAATAGCAGACATGTTCTTGAATGGTTATAAATCACAGTGCTTGAATAAACTCAGAAAGATCCGTATTAATTCCATTTAATGAATTTATTTAATAAAGCTTACCGTTACCTAGATATTATTGTTGCTTTAGATAATAAAATATTCTCTCAGATTACGATCTGTACTGCGAAAATTTACACTAAGTAACATACTTTAAAGAAATCTAATAATAACAACAATAACTTTCCTTTTCTGCAATTGGATATTTCAGTCTTATTTGGTAAACTACTTACCAAAAGAGACAATTTGTCAGTCCCTGTTGTTAATTGTCCTTTTGCAGACGGCGATGATCCGTTTAAAGTAAAATTCGTTTAGGAATAATATAAAATATTTACAATACAACGATCGCTAATGAGACAACTCTCCACCAGAGACCATATTACGTAGAAGTAAACAAATACATGTCATAATAGGGCCTTCAACAATGGCAAAACCCTTACCGCACAGAAAGCTATATAAAAGGCCCGAAATGACAAATGTAAAACTTACGGCCTAATTTATGTAAAAATCAATAAACGAAAAACAAATATGATAAACAGCAACAAACGACAACCACTGGACTACATGCTCCTGATTTCGGACAGGCACATACAGAATAAGGAGGGGTTAAACATGTTTGCGGGCGCCGACACATAGTACAGTACAAAGTACAGATCTGAGAGTACTCGCTGCTACTGAAAGATAGTTTCAAAATCCAATAACAACTGTTGTAATGGATAGGCTCACCGAATATGCTATTGGTTAAGCCAGAGTTTGTGCTCCATCTTTGATGAATCTATCTGGAATGTTATCTATACCAGTACTTTAATACGAATTTAAATTATTAAGATCTTCATAAATGAATTCTTGATTTGTTGTGTGTGTACTACATATGTTGAGTTCAACTAGAGATTATTATTTGATACTTTTGTTATTTATTACATTTTGCCGTTTCTTATGGTGTATATATTTCCCAATTCGTTAGCTATGCCCGTATATGTAGTGACGTTTTCGATAGAACGTTATCTATGTATAATTGGTATCAAAATGATTAAGTAAGGAATTGTGTTACTGCGGGAACCGCCTCGGTGAAATCGTGGTAGCGTGTACGCCTCGAGTGCAAAGGGTCGTGAGTTCGAACCCCTGTTGGGTAAAAATAAAATTTGTATTTGCTGCTTTTCCCGCTACGCACGCGGCATTAGGGAGCCAGAGCAAAGACTGGTCAGCTCGGTGACATGTCTTTTTGGGGACTGCTACCTCGTCATCATCATCATCATCATCATCATCATCATCATCATCATCATCATCATCATCATCATCATCATTATTCGAAAATCCATGACCTCCCACTCTGAAGACGAACACGCACAATGGCACCATCCAAGCGGTTTACATTAGCTTGTACTTGGATGGCTATTTAGATCATATTTTCAAGCCATGTGTATTCAAAGAAACAAACCATAAGTAAAGACTACCGCTATGTACTGCATCATTATATCTTCGTTGCTTAGCTCAATGCTTTTTTAAATTTTCGAAGATTTGATCGATATGATGTCATGAGTCAATACCCAAACAGTTTATCTCCTAAGAACACATTTGAGAAGCAATTCAAAGTGCGTGAATGCCAATTATCTACCTATCTATAAACTTTTCATCCTTGAACCTTTTTAAATAAATAATAATGGCCTCATTTGATGCCCAGTAGAGTTAAACTGTTCCAATTTTCATAGATGCTGCATATATCATTCAATTCAAACCATTTAAATTCATATTTGATAAGGGGGATTAGACTCACAAGTAAACCAATTTCGAATACCAATATCTGTGGACATATTCTGAGTTTGATTTTTTTTTGTGGTGACGCTTGAAAATTAAGGGGGAATGTTGAATATCCTACAATTTGGGGCAGAATGAATATTGGTATATTGATATGAAATATACTCTTCAGATCCTAATTAATTCTGTCATTTAGAAAATAACATGCTCCATGATAATTTAAACAAAATGTTCTTACCAAATCAACCCATTTTAGTTAAAGATTTGACAAATTTTGCATATGACGGCACTTTCAAGACGTCACAGTCAAATTTTGTCATCAAGGCTCAGCTTATATTCCATCTTTTAAAAGTCTTTCTTCTGATGCTTAGGCAATGTGATCAATAATGACGTCAAACAATGTTTTATTTTAGGTTAATTTGCAGGGCCTGTAAGCTCCAAAATGTACCTTGTACCTTGTACTTTAGTTACTTATTATATATCATACCTGAATAGACGATTTCTGTATTAACTCCAGAACAGTCACTTCTTCCCCATCGAATATAGGTGGAACATTTCCCTGGAAAAGAAATTTTGAAATTGAAATAAACATATTCGTTAAAGTACTAAAGGGACATTTTCTAAACAAATATTAACAGTATATAAATAATAAGTATGCTTATCTAATACCATTCTATTGTTAAAATTCAAGACAAAATTTGAAGAAAAAAAATCACCATCATTGTGTGTTCCAACTACATTGGAAGATCTCCTTCAAAACGTATTTGCTTAATGTACAAAATTAATGGTACACTACAATAATTTACTCGTTTGAGTTTTGAATTGACTGTGTATGGATCGTGAACATGCAACTGAATATTTTATGTGGTTTGATTAACCATGATAATCAAATAAAAAAATATTGAATGTATCTCTTGTTCTTTGAGACCTGGCTTGAACAACTAACGCTAAAAATATCTGCACATTGGAACAGTGTGTGATAGAAATTCTTTGGAAGATAGAAGATTTAAAAAATAATTTTGATAAAACTCTGATTTGTGTTGGCCTTGTTTTGTCCTGCCTTGTCCCTTTGACTTTTGCCTGCTTTCGTGTTGGATGGATCATCTTTAAAATAGTCGTCTGCCTTAACTATTAATGTACCTAAGCAAAATGATATAGGAGTTGCGTTATAAAGGTATATCACTGAGTACTGAGGCGCTCATTTGATCATACTGCAGAACATCTTTTAAGGACGGGGAAAGTATAAATGACAAATAAAAAATGAATATTTATTCAAATCGATAAATGCATTAATTGATTGATAAGGGTAGCCTCTAAATAGACCCTATAGACAGAAAGTAACAGAACGAGGCAAACAAAATAGAAACAGGAGAAAATTAATTTTTCATAGATTTGGCTATTATCTTTAGGTCTTTAACAGTGTTTAAAGAAAAGTTTGTTATAATTATTGTTATGATTTTTAAAAGCTGTCTTGTTTTCATATCTCTGGTCAATTATATCCCTCATCTTAGTTTTATTCATATTGTTAACCTGGTTTATATCATTATACATTTTTAAAAATGTATATCAACATCTAATGAAAGTAAATAAAGAATTATTGTATTCATTTCAATTAAGTTCATTAAGATTTGAAAAGAAAAAACCCACAGTAAATGAAAAGAAAAGGTAACAAATCGTATTTGAAACAATTTCAGTAACTCTTATTAGTTTATTTTGTGAAATATAAATAAACTGATAATTAGTTATGATGATTAAAAAATTATAAAATATCTTCTTTAAAAAATAGAATAACAAAAATACCGAACTCCAAGGAAAATTCAAATCAGAAAGTCCCTAATCAAATGGCAAAATCAAAAGCTCAAACATATCAAACAAATGGAAAACAATTGTCATATTCCTGACTTGGTACAGGCATTTCCATATGTAGAAAATTGTGCATTAAACCTGGTTTTATAGATAATGGTGGATTAAACCTGGTTTTAAAAGATATTGAAAATTACAAAATTACAAATATGTCTACTGTTTAAACTTTGTTTCGATGTTATCTGTAGTTCCTATCTCAATACATCTTTTACTTTTCATTACACTTGATTAATACCTGACAATTGTATAACACCTGTTTAACAGCTACATATTCACCACAGTTCAAATTAAGGAAAACTTATCTTGTACAGGAGTTTACCGATGTTCAAATTTTGTGTAAATCGATGTATAGTGGTTTCCCGATTTCAAACCGTACCAAGCGTACTCGAACTGTGATCCGACCTTGAGGTTTTAAAATAATTGATGTAATATACTTTTTATATTGATGTTTGTTTTGTGATTCTTATATAAAAGGTTTTTGTGGATTTGCAACTTGACATGTAGTTACGTTTAGTATTAATAGTGAACAGTATTGGTTGTGCTCGATCATTCCCTCAAGCAACCGTTGTACATTGGTACAGAGAAAGACTAAAATAATGAATCACTCTATGTTTTATTTAATGTTTAACGTAAAAGTATTGTAACAATATAGAAAAGACGGTTAGATTTTGTTTACAAATTTTTAAAAATATTTAAAAAAAATATTAAAGTGGCATTTTAACTTATAAAATTGACCTCTTTCATTATGATTTAATTTCAATCTTTCTTCAATTCCGTCCGACACTAATGATAGGTAGTCAATATCGTTATAACCCCCAAAGTAGAAGCATTCTGTATATGTGTAAAGTATTAGAACCCCGTCCAGCTAAAGAAGTTAATTTTTGTTTCCGTTCTATTTTCTGCATTATTAAAATCTCGTCGAACATATGTGTTTAGGTCCCTTTGGTAATATAGCTCTTCTCTTTATTTCCAATAAAAAACTATCTACCAAAGTTCAAATGAAGTGGACGTTAGCAATTATAAGCAACCGTACGGCCTTCAACAATGAGAAAAAAAAACCCATACCGTATAGTCGGCTATAAAAGGCACCGAAATGCAAAATATGAAACAGTTCAACTGAGAAAACTTACAGCCTAATTTATAACAAAACAAATATGACATATAGGAACCAACAGTAACCACTGAACAACGGGCTACTGGCTTATGCAGGCACATAAAGAATGTACAGTTTCTGGATCGATTCTGAAATTTTAAGATTTGTAATGCTATATATTTGTTTGCTTTAATGCTAGTTATCCGAAATTTTGTATTACGTAGGTCTGCTGAAGCTGTGTCCGTTTGAAATTTATCGTTCTGCTTGTAAGGAAATTACATACCCTTCTATCAAAGTATAATGATATATCATGAGCTGAACAAGAGTTATGTATACGTTTAAACTCAAACAAATAAAACAATCCATTATTGTAATTCTAACATGTAGTTTATGGTTTGGCGATAAAAATCCTAATCTTCCTAATACATTAAGATTTGAAAATTACTGAAGAAATTTTGAAGTAATTTATTGTGTTATCAATTTTGTAATAGCATTCACGTTTTTCAATCATATCTTGCTTTGATTATAATTAACAAGGTTATAAAGTGTATATAAAAAAGTTTCAATTAATACAAGTATCATGCACAAACTTTAATAATAAAAAGTTAGTGACACTTTTATTCATGACGTTTAAATGGCGTAAAAAACATTAAGACACTTAAGATCGGTTTCCCTAATATGGTATAGAAAGCTGGTACCATCTCTGTTCGTCAATACAACATTTCAGTGAACCATTGTTGATCATGTTCATATCCCTTACGGTTAGTTTCAGTATAATATGATTGCTAATTAGATGAATTTTGATTATATTTTTTCGTTGGGATGCTATCGCACTGACATTTACCCCACAACTCATAACTCGCAACTTATTTTCATATGAAGTGTAACCTGTGTCTTGGGATTGTGACTATGGTACTTGGGTGACCACTGAATTTGAATGAATTATGAATTATAACTAAAACCACAAACTGTGATAGAATGTTTTATGAAAAAACCTTACCAATAAATGTATGCTTCTTACCGTTTTCTTCATCTACCTTGACAACCATTTCATTAATGTAACCAGTTAGCTGATCAGTCAAGTTCCTTTCAAAATTAGCAATTTGCGATTTAACAATCACTTCTAGAGCTTTCATTTTCGCTTCAAGTGCATCACTAACAAACTGCTTCGATCTCATAGTCTCCTCTAAATTTTGTCATTTTTGCTTCAATTGAATCACTTACAAACTGCTTAACACGTTCGTCTACTTTCGACATGTCCAAAATCGCCATTAATGGAGCATTTTGATTATCAACTAACCGAACCTCTACATCCCCACCTGAGTTTGATGTGGTCGTTAATGCCAGGACAAACAACGTGAATCCATAAATCAAAATTCTGAACATTATTATTTCCTCTTGATTAAGTTGCATGAACACATGTGACTGAATCCTTAATATTGACAATTTCTACATCTTATTCTTACATTTGTTCTCAAATCATACTGTTTGTAAGTATGTCAAGTCCTTTGATTTTCTTGTTAAACGCTTAATTAAAGTAAGCTGCCTTTTTAATAGGATTTTTACTTTCTCAGCGATATAAACGTGTGACAAAACTCATTAAAGACACCAGGCTTACACTTGACATTTCAGACATGATATGCATGCAGTTTCATTTTTTTTCAAATTCGGAATTTGGGACCTGACGAGTAAAGTATTTATTAACGATATTAGATCATTTAAAGAGAGAAGAAGGATACCAAAGGGACATTCAAACTAATAAGTCGAAAATAAACTGTCAACGTCATGGCAAAAAAAAGACCGAAAGACAAACAACAGTTCACAAAACACAACATAGAAAATTAAAGACGGAGCAACACGAACCCCATCAAAAACTGAGGGTGCTCACGGGTGTTCCGGAAGGGTAAACAGATCTGGCTTCACATGTGGCACCCGTTGTGTTGCTCATGTAAGTGCAAACCCGGTGATAAGTCTAACTTACTTACTTTTCCCTAATTTTAAGAATTTAATCATATTGCTATCCGTGTTTTAGTTTATGACTATAAGAGATGTTGGTTTTACGTCGTTGAGAAACAACCAAATGACAAAAATTAGCAAAAGACATCACATATTTGTCATCGTACAGCGACAGAAACATTTGTTAATAGTGTAATTTAATTATTAGAAATATATGTTCTTGTCCGTAAAGAATTTGATGATCTGTAGTTCATTTTAAGCAATCGTGATCATCAATCAAAATAGGTTTTTCTGAGTATCACGCTTTCATTTCGTGATTATTGGAGGCATTGTAAACAAGCAAAATTCGTAGCATGTTTGGAACTTTTGAGTTGTATTCCTTTGTCTATATGTAAGAATTATAAAAAAAAAATTTGATCATGGTTGAAGAATTATCACTGGCAAGAGGGTTCTTATGCCGCATAAGACGAAAATCGTGATTAAATTTAAAGGCAGGTTGAAAACTCAAGTCAATAGAGTTAAGGCAATTGCCTAAAAAAAGTTTTAATGTATGCAAGGACTGGTAAACTTTATCATTTGAAATCCTTCATAACACATGAACACTACAAAGTTTCTCAGTAACTTCTTTGAATGACAATACTGTCGATTCATTTATTTTTGTGGGTATCAATTTTCGTGGATTGCTGAAAACTTGCATATTCGTGGATATTTATTTTCGTGGTTTTGCCAATCTCTGTATACAAAGCCTATTGAAAATATGATATTCGTTGAATATTTGAATTCGTGGTTCACCTGTAACCACGAAACCAACGAAAATTGGTATCCAACGAACAATAATGAATCCACAGTATATAGGCAAATCAAGACGGTCAAGCAAGCATGTTACAGCTGATACAAATGAACTATTCATAGGACATTTGTATTGCTATGAGTTAATTCAGACTGTACAATTATGAAATTTGATAGAAGTCAATGAGGTGTGCTTACTTTGAATTATTTTTGAGCTGCAGTGCTACTACCTTAAACATACAAAATAGTAGCTTATTTGGACATTACAGTTGTTGTAATGGATTATATTATTGTATTTTTTCTTATTGAATTATGAAATTAATCAAATTATTGTTTAATTTTTTTTTCTCCAAGAAATCAGATGTCCTTCTGTGTCAAAATTAATATAGGAAAAACGTAAAAGTCAACAGGCATTTACACCTACACAGGAACAGATGTAGCTGGTATTTTAGCTGCTATTTTATCCACATAATGAAATGAGTATTAAATAATCCTGCAAATAAAAGAAAAAAAGAAGGATAATAAGCTAATCATCAGTATCAATTAAAAAGTAATCTGACACTATTTCTGAGTATAATAACATATACACAAAAACGCCGCGATAATTGTTACCATTAAAAAACTTACACCCCCAATGGAAATCTTCAAAAATTGGCAGGTTTGCCGATGGTAATCGCAATACCGCATAACCAAATCTTGTGACACTTAAATACAATGTCATGGACCACAAAATACAGGTCAAATTCGATTTTAATGGTTTATCATCTACCGTTCAAAAGTTATGCCCTATTTACTTTAAATATTGATTTATTTGTGTTTTTGTTTCAACAAGTAAAGCACCACTTGTATTACAAAATACACCAATTAATAGAAAATCAAATAGAAAGGAACATTTTGTGTATACCCAAGCACAATTACAGTCTTCAACTGACATTAAATCAGTTACTATCGTAATCGGGTGTATAACTTCAGATAGAAAAATATCAGAACATCTAAACAATTGATGTAACATAATTATTAACAACATATATGACCAATTTTGATTATAATTGGTATGATTTAAAATTTGAATTTCACATGCTTTTCAGTTATAGGAATAAAAAACGCATTATCAAAAATACCGAATTCCAAGTTACATTCAAAAAGAGGGAAATTTATAAAAACCGACAAAATCGAACGCCAGACCACATGAACCAACGAATGGAAAACAACTGTTATATTCCTAACTTGGTACAAGCATTTTCCGAAGAAAATGGTGGCTTAAACCTTGTTTTATAGCTATCTATATCTCCCACTTGTATGAAAACTGTTCCGATATATTGACAAAAACACGTTCTCATCTAAAATTAGAAATTCTCATTAACGGTCATTTGCCATAATTCGTACTCAAATAGGTCGAATTATCGCTCATAAGACAAACTTTTGCAAAAACGAGAAAAATAAAAGAAAAACACGTTTTTCTTTTTATCAAGCACTTGAAAATCGTGAATCTGACATATTGAACACCTGGTGTATGCTGAACTGAATTGTAATAAATTAACTTGCATTTCTCAGGCCTGTATGCCAGCATACGAACCTGGTGTATGCTAAAGTCTACATTTGATTTATACATTGTATTTCTCAGGTCTGTATGCCTGCATACGAACCTGGTGTATGCTAAAGTATACATTTAATTTAGGTATACATTGTATTTCTCAGGTCTGTATGCCTGCATACGAACCTGGTGTATGCAGAACGGCAAATATTGAATCAGATGTTGTATTTCGCAGGTCTGTATGCTAGCATACGAACCTGGGTGTTTCCAAAAAATCCTTTACTTCAGTAGTTGTGTTTTAACACTGATTTCGATTTTTTTTTTAAACTAAAAGCCTACCACTGACCTCTATATTTTCTCCCGATAGGTAAACAGAAAAGCGTTAATTTGCAAGGCAAACCGGTAAAGCGTTTACTGTTGTAAATCTAAAAATGAAAACCGATTCTCAAGTTCCACGACTATGATCACTTTATAGACATGACAGTTATCTGTTTTCTGCAAATCAAAATTACGGAAAAATGAGGCGATCATAATTTGTACAAGGTTCCAAGTTGTTGACAACATTTTAAATGACGTCAGGGACCTTCTGACGTAAGGCGGAGGGAATTATAGACGGATAGCACTTGACTTACGCGAGTTACTTTTTACCAGTACACTTAATTAAAATAATAGCAATTGATTACAAAACAAAATGTTTTTTTTTATACTTTGTATTGGTAAATAATAAAAAGTCAAAGAACAAATGGACTATTTATCTGCGTTGAATGACCTAATAACACCTTATGTCACGCACTCCTATATGACGTCATTTACAAATGTAAACAATGTGAATGGAAGGAGTTCCCGTCACGGAGAAGAAAATGGACAATTCATTGAAAAATACGCTCTATTATCTAAATTTTAGTATACCAGAAGCAAAACAGAATGTCAGATACATTTACGGTAAGTAAACCTAGCTGTTTTTGTACATTTTCCACGAATTTCATAGAACACCCTCTTTTTTTAGAAGTGACTGACTGATTTAATCCGGCTTGAAAACTATAATACAAGATTATTGATTACGCTAAGTTTGTTTTCTCAAGAGGTTTGTTCACTTCAATCAATTTCATGCTAGACATCATGTGGCGAAATTTACAGCTGTTTTACTATCAAGCTACCCCCCCCCCCCCCCCCCCTAGTCCAGATAATCATGCCGTCTGCTGTGGGTATTTTTCGATTTTGACTTTTTTTTATCCCAAGGCGTCAAAGAAAAAAAATATAATAGCCTTTCAAGACGTCATAATTATTTGGACTACCCCCCCCCCCCCCCCCAAAAAAAATAGCCTTGCAAGACGTCATAAGTATTTGGACTACCACCCCACCCCCCTTGAAAGTATTTAGAGAAAAAATGAATGGGAAATACGATTATGTGTACATCCATAGTGATGTCTCCTTGCATTAGTTACAATTTTAAGGATTTTAAGGGGTGCTTTGTGGGAAAAATTTAGTTGATTTATTGAGGGAAACAATACTGGAGCGGTCCATTTCTAAGGAAGTCAGTGCCCTCCCCAGCCCATCCCCCTTATGAAACTTCTGGATCTGCCACTGAGTTAAAGTCTCCCGGATTTAAAAAAAATTGAAATTCAGCCCCTATCCAGTTTCAAAATGCATGGCCAATGCCCTTCAGTTAACCCATTCAGGTCTTATTCTAACAACTTTTAGGGAAACAAAAGTCCAAGGTAAAAAGGGGGGGGGGGGGGGTGAGCGCTCACATGTTAAAACCGGCCACACTAGTCCCTGTCCCAAGTCAGGAGCCTGTAGTTGAAGTTGTCATTGGTTCATGTATGTCGTATTTCTTTTTCGTAAATTGTTTTGCTATAAATTATTGTTTCTTATTTTTCATGTTGGGTCCTTTTATCATCTGACTATACAGTATTGGTTTTTCTCATTGTTGAAGTCCGTACAGTTGCCTATACTTGCTTACATCCACTTCATTTGGACTTTGGTGGATAGTTGTCTCATTTGCAATCATCCCACATCTCCTTATTTTTACAAGGAGGTTGTATGATGTGTCCTTGTTTTGGAAAACTGTACAGTACATTTGTCACATGATCACTGCAGCATTCTGTGATGTGTGTATGTAAGAAGCTGTTACTGTAACAGGGTAATATGAAAAGCTATCAACAAAATCGAAAGACAGACAGAAAATTTTAAAATTTAGTGAGCAATAA